TGGGCCATTGCCTACTTTTGACTTTAAGATCAAATAACTGTCTTGGGACTCTGACATTTGTCATACACAGCAATAATATGTGGGTAACTGAACTCTGTTGTTTGTCTTGTGGCAGTTAGTGAATTTGGTAATGCTTAATTTTATTTGGACTCACTACCGGTAGGAACAGAGAAGACTGACACCTCCTGAGTCTAAAGAGGTGTGAAATCCATTGGTACAAAGCTCAGTTTATTGCCAGTAGTGAAAAATCTGAATTGCTGCTTCTGAATCATAGTTCACAGCCAAAACTTAAATTTGGATATCTGCATGTCTGCTTGCTTTCTATACTTTTTTCCTCTCTTGTAGTCACATATATATATATATATATATATATATATATATATATATATATATAAAAATATAGGTCAAGAAGAGTTACATGGAGCCAGAATATGGGTTTACAGGTATTGTCAGAGCAAGAAAAGTATAGCAGGCACACAAGACCAGGAAATTACAAGGCTTCTTGGTGTGCTCTGCTTAACCTTGTAATTTATTCAGCACAGGAAAATTACAGTTTTGAGCACATGTGAAATTTACCTACTTGCATTGTGAATTTCAAGTACTTAGAATCTATATTAGAAAAAATATGATTAGGTAATTTAATTCTTTACCCATTCAGCCATAATTTAATCCCGTGTTGAGCCAACATGATGCATGCTTGATCATATCTTTTTCCTTCATAGCCCTTGATGTCCATTTTTCTGGACAGGGGGATGGTAATTAATTTGAGAAAACAAATTTTAAATACATTTTGCTTCTTTTTTGAACTACTGGCAGGAGCTTATTCAAACTGGTCTCTCTGGTATTAAAAAGCAAGTGTTGATTCCTTCTGTGTGAAAGTTGGCTTGTTGGGGTCTGAAAACTTATGCTGAGAAGTGATGTGGTATTTAAATCCTGACACTGTGTTTAGAAAGAGAGAAACTCTGCCAGAGTTTCTGCAATTGAGAAAGCTTCTTTCATGTTTCATGCTTCAGTCATTGAACACAAATTCCTTCATATGGGATCAAGTTTCATTGCTATTTGCTACCATGGCAAGTTTCTGTAGAGAATATTCAGTGCTATCAGTAAGCTTGATTTATGGAAGGGGTATTAATGAATATTAAAAAATACTTTTCCAAGCAGTGTGCTATTATTATTGCTGAGGTGTTTGTCAAAGTGACTATTCCAAAGGAAGTTTCAACATGAAGATCTGATGCTTCTAATGGGTCTCTATGTGCAGACTAATGCTAGTAGGTGGACCAGATATCCTGGGTGTGCATGCCTGGCTGTGAACAGGCTGCTGGGCTTGCACCTCCGTTAGTGTGCTGTTGGATCTGTCTGGAGACAGGTGTTCTGGCAGTCTACCTGCATGTGGTTTACTTTATATTTGTTTTCTTAAGCTATTTTCTCCTCCCAACTGGACCAAAAAGCAAGCTAAAGTCCAGCATGCTACCTTGCAGCTTTGCACGCGCATGTAGCTGAGCTCTCAGGATCTGTTGATTTAGGAAGTGCAAGACTGGGCTGCTTAAAAATACCAGCTGCTCTTTGAGTAGAGATAGCCAACCAGATTCTGTCCCGAGTATTGAACTTTTTCTTGTACCACATGACAAGTGGAATGTGTGCAGGTGTGCTGGGGGCCGTGTATCTGAAAAGTTGAAGCAGAATCAAGTGTTCATTTGAGTTTTCGGCATGTCTCCACGAACGGTGTAGTGGAAAAGAAAGAAATCTAGCTGACTATTTGAAAAATAATTAAACAGGTTGATTTCCTTTCTATGAAGAGGAATTTACCTTTTCTGAAAATACAGCCTTAGACTATGTTTTGTTTCAGGCCTTTCAAAATTATGAGGAAAAATGTGGCCATTTAATTTCAGTGCTTAATTTGCATGAGACAGACTACTCCATCTGTTTAATGCTTATTACCTTGCGTGTGCTATATGACCTGTCTGCTGAGATAGTACTTGTTTTCTCTGTTGCCAGTAGTTAATGAATGTCATGAATGCTTTTTTTTTTTTTACCTTGTAACACCCAGAAAATGTTGGGTACCTTAGCATTACAGAAGAATACATCATTGCCCTTTTAAGTTCACTTGGGAACTTGAGGGTAACCTCATCTTAAATTATTCCATAATCTTAAAACTAGTTGTGTCCAAAGAACCAATTTATCCATAGGAGGGTACATTGCTCTCTTTTTATATATCTCTCAGGCCCAATAGTCTCCTGGTAAAGAGGAATTTAATGGGGAGTATAATAAGCAGAAACTACTATGGATTGGACTGACTGTCTGAGAACTCATTTAGTGTGATGAGACAGTCCTCTCAACTGCCATGCTGAAGATGGTTGGCAAAGCAATTATTCTTTTCCAGGTCAGGACCCAGACTTCATAAAACCTTCTTGTGGAAAAGCTGAAACATGGAATTATTTATCTATTGCAGTGGAATTCCAAGGCTGGGGATGGAGAAGAATCACGGTCCCTAACCTGTCGTTTCTTGATTGTCAATGGGAGGACTTTAATAGGCTATTTTGAGAGTCATCTCCACTTCTGGCCTGTTGATTGTGTTAGTAAGTAATTCTGACTACTGATACCAAAGTAACTGGGCCTCAAAATCTGTGTGAATCTGAGAGGTTCCGTTGTCAAAAACCAATGAGGTTCTTGGATCAGTGAGGTACTGCTTGTACTAACATCTTCATTTTTCTCCTCCCACCCCTTTCTCTGAGACCCCTAAGCAGTGGGGAAAAGAATAGAACAAAGCACTTGAGTCAAAACCGAGAGAGTCTGTGGCTTTTATTGTTTCGCCATAAATGGGACTGAAGAGAGTTAGCATATGAGGATATGTATGAACTGCTTTTAAGAAACAGCAATTGAAGTTTGTACTCCAGAAAGAAATTATCTTAAAATTATTTTTTCCCCCCCTCTGTAGACTTTCTTGTTTTTCAGGTGCACTCAAAAAGCCAAGTTCCATCATGGCCTCATTTTTACAAGAAAACATGTTATAAAAGAGATCATGAAATATAAGTAAAAGTTATGGTTTCAAACATCTCTGCTTTCAGATATTACAGTAATTTGCCTGTCTCAGAAAATGATAAAAAACCTTGATGGATTGTATTCTTTGAGTTTTGCAGTGGTGTGAACTGTCCAAGAAGAAAAGTTCATCTGTTTTTGCACTTGCCAGAATTTATTTTGAAAAAAAAGAAAATAATTGAACTGAAGATGTGCAGAACTTGGCTTGTGCAACAGTAATTGAAGGAGTAATTTGTGTAATGTGGGTGACGGGAAGGATGCACTTGAATAGTTACTGCTATCAAAGAAGAGAAATAAAGTGAAGTGACATCACTGCCTTCCACTACAGCAGTATGGGCTTGCTACAATAGCCACAGATTATATCTGGGCATATAACATGTTTCTAATTTCCTACTTAATCTTTAGTTCTGGTAGTAGTTTACTTCATTTAAGCACATTCTTTGGACACTGGGAATGAAGCCATCAATACTTGTTGGAAGCAAAATTTTTGTTTATATATGAAGCTGATCGTTATATTTCTGAGCATGAACTATATTCCCCTGTCTTTTACTGCAGCCCTTCCACTAGTCTGAAGTTTCAGTTATGTCCTTGAGCTTCTGTCATCTAGTATCCTACTTTCCAAATGAAGACTTGAATGAAGTGATATTTAAAACTCATGGTGTAATTAGAGGATTTGTAACTATTTGGTCACAAGTTATTCACAGCCTTTGCTTCTCTGGTTTTGCTTCAGTTGTGGTGACAGAGTATGTGACCGAAAATCAAGAAGTTCCTAGGCAAAACTCAGTGAAACCAAATTTGGTATTCTAAAGAAATAGAGTAGAAAATCTCAAACTTGTCAGTATGCATGACAGGTACAAGTGCAAAATACTGTTTTGAAGATAACCCTTTGCAGTTTCTGTGCCTGTGTCTACCTTACAGAACGCATAACATTGTCCTCCAGTGTTCACAGCAGTAAGTTGGGAAATGACTTGAAAGTGAAGATGGTAAACATTCAGAGTGAACATTCAAAGTGGTAATTTCATTAAAAATGTGTAGTTCTTAATGGAAGTTGTTCCAAGACCACTAGAAATAACTTCTTCCCCTGTTACTAAGCCCAGATATTCTTAAACTGAAATTAAGTTTCTCACTTTTAATTAAGTACTTGTGATCCTAAATAAATCCTGATAGCATATTGCAGGGAAGCAGTCTGGGAGGTGAAACACATGACTAAGTGCGGTGTGACTTATGCCATGGGATTTTTCAGTTCCCTTCAAAATCTGAGTGTCAAGGTGAATCTTTTTATTCCTTTTCTAGAGTTCTTGAACATACCCTTCAAAGGACTGAAGGAAGGTAACTGTTGAGGATAACAAATAGGTAATTGTGTAAATCTTGATTGTGTTAAATTAAAATAAAAGTTCAGGATAGTCTTTTGCTAGCAAAGTGACTGAGATGCATTTTGGGCATTCATGCAGGTCAAGTAAGCATTTAACATGCCATCATGTTCTGCCATTTCTGTACAAAGGTTTTATGTGGTACTTTTCACCATTTAAAAACATCAGCAATGTTGTTCTACAAACAAATTTGGAAAAGACATTTTCTATCCACTATATCAGTAGTAGCATTCAGAGTGTGTTTTGGTAAATTTTCTTTGTCGGTGCGGCTTTACCTTGTGTCTCTAGAATAAACAAGAACTGTGTTGTATGACGAGGACAGTAAACAGAACTCTTTTTTTTTTCCCCTGTTGTAAGTCACCCTGAACTATAATATTGTTAATTTAGCAACTTGCTTTTACAGCTTCTTAATAAGTTTGGGCAGGGGTGGGGAGTGCTTGCATGAGAGGGATTAGTTAAGTGGAAATGGGAGTGTTACTGTTAAGAATTAATTTAAAATGAAACTTCTGGAAAATGTTCTAGGTGATCATGTAAAATTGAAAACTGAGGTCCTGGGCCAGAGGTAATTTCATTTACATTTTATAATTTTTGCAGCTTCACTCCTGTCTTAAAGTTTTCACTTGCAAGTTGCAATGAAGAGGAAACCTTTCAGTGAAATTAAATAGACTGAACTGAAGCCTTCCCTATGGAAGTTTTGCATGGTGGGTCTTTTTCCTTCTAGAAAAATTAGGTAGACAGGATAATTGTGTAATAATCAAATATATTTTCTATTTTAAATTAGAATCACTTCCATTTTTGATTAAAGAATGTGTTGAGATAGTCGAAATCTTTTCTAAAGTGCTTGAATTTATTTTGTGCTCTAAAAAGCTGTCTTGCGTTTCTGTTTTCTGTATATGAATTTATGGAGCAATTCTGAAATGCTTGTGCAGCATCTGTAATAGAATCTCAAATAAAAATATTTTTGTGTCGACATTGATGCAGATCTAATTTAAATACTCCAGTGCTTTAAGCTGGAAGAGAAAATTCAACAAATAGTTCACAATAACAGAAATCTGAAACAGGGCATGCATGAAATGTTAATATATGGGCATGATGTATTAAAAGGGCATAGATGTAGTTTTTGAAGTGGCTGCATCATAATTGGGTAATCAGATTTTGAAAGTGCTGTGTTTGGATGCTTTAATTTAAAAAAGCGTTCTGTTGTTATGAAGTAAGTCTGAGAATGTGTTAATACAGCTTTACTTCACTAATTATCAAAACTTTTCATCATAAAATTTTTAATTGTTAGAATTCCTCAGTGTCTCCTGCACTTAAAGCTGTAGAAGGAGGCAGTGTTAAAAGCAGCAGCAGTATCTTGATGAAAGGTGGTTTCTGGTGAAATAAATAGTCTAAGCATTTTCACTGAAGCGAGAGTATCAAAACCAAAGTGCCAAACCCTGATTTATTTGAAGCGTAGAGTAGTAGCAGTGAGACAAAATACACATGTAATGTTTTGTACTTAGGAAGAGAACACTTTGTTCAACAACAAATTTAAGGTTTGGAGGAGACAGAGGTTCAAAATGATTTTTTATATTCTTTTGTAGCAGACCAGTAGATTGAGCTGACAGTATGATATAACTGTGAGAAAGTCAAAAAAGATCTCATGATCTAAATGTATCAGTAGAAAGGGAAATATTAATTCTGTTTTGCAAGGCACTCATGAGACTCTTGTCTGATATATTTTACACAGTTCTGACTGTCCATATTGAAAAAAGTTGCAGACTGGAAGAGGTACAGGGGAATTATTGCAAGCTTGCTTCTTTCCCAGTCAATATAGGAGATGAGAAACTTCACTTTATAGGGCAGAAAATTGCCCTCTTTAGGTTAGAAGAATGAAAACTGAGGCACTGTATGCTAGATGTAAAAAAAAAATTGGGTTAAGAACAGAGAGCAGAAAGAATTGTTTAAGGTAAATTTCATATTAACCAAGATTAAGGAAACACCCTAGGTATCTGAAGTGTGGATTTTAAAAATTATTTCCTACTTGTCTTCTGTTGAGTGATGAGGTGCTTTCAGATGAAAGGATGCAAGCATGCCTGACATACAAACTCCACTGGAACCAACAAGATTTCTAGTGATCAGATTCATCAAGGGTCTCTGGAGGTGCACCGTGTTGTTATTTTGCTATGCAGTAGAGTATCTAATTTCATGTATTAAAAGGACTTTGTCTTGTTTGCTGATAAACCCAAAACACATTACAGAATAGCTCTTTAAGTATTGTTCTGAGCCATGACATGTACACTTGCAGTATAGAGTACCTTACAATCCTTGTGAATTTGATCTTTCTTTGAAAATATGCCTGCATGGTGTGCTGAGATGAAAGTGCAAGTGAAACATGTTCATGGCAGAACTTGAACCTTCCATTTTATTGCTGCTGGGGTGCCTGTTCTTAGAAGTGTGGCACAACGTGTGACGCTCACAGCTCGCCTTTATCCACTATTACAATGTTGATTGGAGACCAGTAATAAGATGCAAACACATAACACTGAAAGTGTTGTTCTTCTTTCCCTTTAGAAGGGTGTTCACTATTTTCTCTTCAGGTTTAAGTTTAGTACTTGTGTGGAGAAGGGATCTGATTTAGGAAGATCTCTTGATTGATTTCCAGTTGGCCTTAGGATAAAGTTAGCAATGGGATAAAACTCTGTAGATGGTTCTGCATGACTTCCCCTCAACTTTTCCACCAAGAAAAGTGGTACAATAAACTGAGGTGTGGGTTTTTTGTTTTTTTGTTTGTTTGTTTGTTTTTGTTTTTTTTTTTTTTTTTTTGTTATACATAACTTGCTCCTGTGGGTATATAACTGAGGTCTTTACTTAAGTTGTTAGTATTTTGTCAATCAGTTACGCTGTCTTCAGGCTTGTGTCACTATAACAGATAAATAATTTTGAGTCCTGTGACAGAAATAGAGAGATACAAAGCTTTGATTCATGTAGACAGGCACACATTAAAGCTGAAAAATTAAGATACAGAGAAAGGCATACTTCAAAAGCTGTACTTGGTTGCATCTGTTATGCTGGTATTTTGGACTTCATAAATACTGGCATTAATTACCTGTGTGACTGCATAGAACACAAGTTTCTTCATCCAGCTGTTTCTTGCAAAATACCAGGGAAGATGATTGATGTGACCCAATAAATTCAGCCTCTTGTGTAAGTTGAGTGGAGTGCAGGGTACGTCCTGAAACTCATTGAATTTGTACTGAAACTTTTGGTATGAAGTAGTATCTTAGACTGCATATTCACAGAATGTGTTTTACCTTCATTTAAAAATCAGTTTTAAAATATCCTCTAGTACCTGAAGTACTAAAGTACTTGAAGAAGTAAGAGACTATAATCTTTGTTTACCAAAATTGAAATTTCTCCTGGGGCATATGCTAGTAATCATTTGAAGTACAGTAGTCTTTGTGTGACATCAATACATGCTTTCCTAACCTAACATCTGTAGCTGAAAAGTTAGAACACTACCAAAAAAATGAAATAATTTAATTTGGCCTTTTTAAAAAGCTTTTAGTTGACATGCTTTTACACACTCCAGTTTGTGCACTATGATGGTTGAAGCTTTTGCATTAAATTGTTTCCATATTTTATTTCAAACACAACTGCTGCTTGTAATTTGAGACACAATACTGTTTTTAATTTTTCTCCTCTTGGAACACTTAGTTTTTTTCCTACAATGGAAACTTTTACATATATAGCTCTGCTTGTCTAGGCTTATAGGTAGAGGCTTTCAAAAGCATAGAATATCTCCTTGTTTTTCAGCTAACCTCCACTGCCTCCAACATTTAGATTTCTGGATTACTGAGATGTTTTTTAATAATTTCTGCAGTGTCTGGAATATTTGGTCTTTGTGTTTGTGCAACTTGGCAGGTGCAGAGAAGTGCTTATGTTTTGAAGTTTTCTCAAAGATCTACTAAAAAATTATTTCTTCCAAATGGCAACGTATGAACATTTGTAACAGCAAGAGGAAAAGTAGCTTCCCTTAAGCTGTGCCTTATCATAACTGTATAATATACAGTTTAGAGAGGAAATGGAACTGGCTTCAAATTTGGCTCCTTAGTACTACCTTTTGGGAAGACTAATGCAAATAGCTAGAGCAAAAACTATATTTAGAGCAGTGTGTAAAGTTTTCAGAAACTCTGGAAGTAAATGTATTTATTTGTTGTCAACTGGCAGTGGGGATGTTCAGATGTTTGCAAAGATTTACTGAAGTTATTGAGTGATGAACGGTATTTAGAATCCGTGAAAGAGCATATTAGCAATTTAGTATCAATTAATAAAGTAATTATTTGGAGTCATAGGTCTTCTTTTTTTTTTTTCTTTCCTTTTTTTTTTTAATGGTGTGGAAAGTCTTATGTTTAGCTCAAAATGACCAGTGATAGCATAGCTTTTTCAGTGTTGCCTGAGTGGCCCTGGAGAAGTGCAGGCATCCATAACCGAGCTGATGGTATTTATGGGTTTAAACTGCTGCTTTTTATGTTACAGGAGGAGTGGAGATTTCTGTCTTTCAGTATAGTATTGATATGAGTTTCCAGTATTTATTTAAAGGTAGTGTTTACATGGTATGAAAGTATATATCGCAAAGTTCAAGAAGACTAATATTAGTGAGCAAAGCTTTCCATCTGCATGAAATATGCCAGGAAATAATTACAGAATCACAGAATCATTGAGGTTGGAAGGGACTTCTTCAGATCACCTGGCCCCACTGCCCTGCTCAAACAGGATCAACTGGAGCAGGTTATCCAGGACTCTGTCCATTGGGTTTTGAATATCTCCAGGGATGGAGTCTCCACAAATTCTGTGGGCAACCTGTTCAGTGAGGATGAGAGGCACATGACATAAATGGAATCAAGAGAAATTGAGGCTGTAGGTAAGGAAAACCTTTTTCATCATTAGAAAGTAATGGAAGCAGTTGCCAAGAGAAGTTATGTAGTCTCCATCCTGGGAGGTTTTCAAGACTTTACTGGGTAAAGCCCTGAGCAGTGTGGTGTGCTGTCATAGCTGTCCCTTCTTAGGGCATGAGGTTGGGTTAGAGACCTTGTGGGGACCCTTCCCACTTAAGCTTTCATAACTTGATATTATTGTTTTCCTGAATGTACGACTGGGAGGAAGGTGCTTACTTTTTAGTAATCATTTGTTTTAACTGATTAGTCTGGAACAATTGTGTATGCAGTAATCGGTAAGAAATGCTACCTTTTTGGTGGAGCATGAAAACTATTTAAGCAGAAAAATGGGGAAGTGAATTCTCTTTTTAAAGAATTGCATCTCCTGAACCTTTCAAAAGGCATCTTAAGCCCTCCTGCCTCTTCCAGTGTGGCACAAATGCCATAATGAAGAGGCAAATTCATTAGGTGGCTCGGACTACAACAGATCAATCACTGTGCAGGTTTCTGCTGTCTTATCATGTTTGCTGCAGAGAACTTTCAACTGTGGGGTTAGACCTGTACAATTTAAACCATTATATGAGAAGCTTCTCCTTGTCAGAAAAGACATATTCAGCATATTTGTGTGTGTGTATGTGTATGCTTCCTCAGTTAATCGTCATCTGTGCCTGAAGCTTGCATTGGTCTTTCTCTAATTAAAAAAAAACCTCAAAAAACTTTTTAATATTTAACACCTGTATAGGCTTACCTTCGAAGCATCGAGCTTAATTACTGATCATCAAGTT